AGGGCCCTGTGGTACCTTCTACGGAGCGTTGTCCAGGGCAGGTTTAAGTGACCTCATCAAACTGACTCATCATGTGTTTTGAGAGGTGACATCATTCATCTTGCCTGCACCACCACCCGCCTTTTGGGGCTCGCTTCAATTAAATAGGCAAGGAGAAGAGAATGTTGAACAACATTATAAAATTAATTCCTAAAGTCACTGACTCGCTCTTAATCCCACTATTAGATGATTGTCCTGATGGAATCATCCTGACCAGCAAGCTGTGCTGTGATGAATGTGTGATTGTGACGAATGTCTACCGTTATTTTATGATATGGTTAAGGTTGTTTTTCCTTCTGACCAGACGTTCCTTTAGAAATTATATCCTATTTAGAAAGAACAAGTATATAAAATGCTTTCATTGGTTTCCAGACTCTTTCATTAACCAGTGTTTGGATGATCCGTGTTTTGATCATGCCATGAAACATTTTAGTACAATCACCCGTGACAGTTTGTCCTTACAAATTCGGTGGCTCCTTTCTTCTCTCCCATTTTTTAAGCTCAAAATGCTCAACTACAGTCAATAAAATAAAATACCTGTAGCAAGTGCAGAAATCTCATTGTTTCAAACAGTGGCTTCCTAATGATGCCAGAGGGAGAAGAGGTCTGGGCAGGACCAGGAGGAGGGAGACGTGGAGAGATGTCTTCCCACTGCTGGCCCAAAGCCAGCATCAGCCAACGTACTCAAAGATGCAAAGCTTTACCCTTGTGTCACCTGGACTCCCACCCTGGCGTGACCGATCTAGGCTGACCCCAGTCCTGAAAGTGTCTGATGCTCTAGATAAACCCACCAGCTCTCTAGGGACGTGAGGATGGGTTATCGAAGTTGGGAGTTAGAAAGAAAGCAGTTCATTTGAACTAGCGCCCAGTGCTCTTCAGCTGTTCAAAACAAGGTCAAGTGGATTGACACAATTTAGAATTATTCCTTAAAAGAAGACGCTGGTTAACAAACACCTCTAACTAGACTACAAACTACTATGTACAGAATAGATAAACAACAAGGTCCTGCTGTACAGCGCAGGGAACTGTATTCAATACTTTGTAATAGCCTATAATGAAAAAGAATATGAAAAGGAAAATACATATGTGTGTGTATCACTGAATCACCATGCTGTACACCAGAAGCTAGCAGAACATTGCAAATCAACTATATTTCAATAAAAAAGTAAAAAAAAAGATAATAAGAAGACTTGAAACATTTTAGATTGAGTGAAGGGAGGTATTTGGGGTGAGCATATTCCCTGACTCACACTCCTAAGATACTTCTGCTTTTCATAGTATCTTTTTACCTTCTTCTCATGACCTACAGGTTCTTGAAATCTTGAGATTGCCATTCTCTTCCTCCTTGCCTCAGTCACTCCCATAAGGACATTAGCAGCAACAGCAATTCAGAGAAAGTTATTGCTATTTGTCTACACAGAGTAACTTGTAAATGATATGTTTGTAAATCAGGAGGCGTAAGCGAAATCAAGTCTTGACTGAGACAAATTTCCACCTAGGAGCATCCTCAGACAAATGTTACTCTTCCACTTCAAAATGATAAATCATAACAAATGGCTCTCAAGAACGACTTCTTTCATTGTTTTTTAAATAAATACATATTAAATGCCCAACAGAAACAATACAGTGGTTTTCAAAGGAAACTAGACCTAACCCCATTCAGCCTAATGGTGTATAACCCCTCCATCTCTGTCTACACTTGCTGTTTTGGACATATTATCATCTTCTGGATAATATTTTTATCTACTGAAATAGTCCCAATCATAAAAGAAAAACTTCAACAGATTTTTGCCATACTAAATTTAGCAAAGGAAAAAAAAAGATGGCAAAGAAAAAATTCAAAAATACTTTTCTGTTAACTACAAAACCCAGAAATTAGAGGTGACTTCCTGGCTTTGTATGGGTTAAATATGACACTTAGAAGGATGTCTTTGGCTCATGCAATAGTGAGTGACCTTCATAATATATTTTTTGTCCAGATCTTTGAACTTGAAACGTATGACTTCTCTTTAAAAAAATTCAAACGCTATGGTAACCTTGGGGCTAATCTTTGTCATGACTGAAATCAAGGGGACAGGGCTGCCCCCTCCTCTGAGCCACCTCTCTCCCCTTCACCTTAATGTTCACCTCTCTCCACCTTTCCCCTACTAGAAACTGAGGACTAAGGTAGGTTAATCTTGGCCATCATGGTGTTGTTATTCCTTTGGTGGTCTTAAAAGAAAATTAATTTTGTATCTATGTATTCAGTTTTGTTGGTCTAAAAGCTAGTCCTGTGTTCCCAATTGTGGTGCCTGCTTGATTTGGTTAGCATTTGACCGTGTGACCCTGAGTCTGAACATTGATTAACCAATATTCCACTATAGAAATACTTTTTGTGGTAGTGTTGTTCATAAGAGCATGAGTATATTTTAATTTTTTAAAACAATTTTAAATTGAAGTATGGTCTATGTACAATGTTGTATTCGTTTCTGGCATTTTTTACAAAACAGAAAGTGACTCACAGACATAGAGATTCTTCAAAACATTTTCACCTCGGTTTCTGGGACACCCTCAGGGCAGTGCCCTCTCCAGGCTGCTGCACTCTGACTCGTGAAATATCTTGTCTTTCAGATGGAACCCCACTGACCTGGTGGATCGGGCGATCCGGTGAGAGGCACCCCTACTGGGGCGGCGTCCCCCCTGGGGTCCAGCAGTGTGCGTGCGGCCTGGACGAGACCTGCCTGGACGTTAGACACTTCTGCAATTGTGACGCCGACAAGGATGAATGGTAAGGGGGCGTCGTGGTCTCTCTGTACTAAGTGGGGCATCAGATGTCCCCCCACGTGAAAAAGCGTGCGTGAGAAATGCAGTATGAACTTGGGCCCCTGAACGATTGTGGTTGTGTTCGACCTTGAAAATCGCCATTTCTAGTACTTTCAGGGCCAGGACTGACGCTCCTAACACAAAGCCTGTTGCCACATCGTCACCTCCTTATAGTCTGAAACTTTCACTTTAAACAAAAGAATATGGCAACATTAGCTTTGGGATTTAGTCGGGATTTTATACTGTGGGTCTGGGGACAGAGTGTGGGAGGCAGGGAGGTGTCACTTTACAGTTTCCTCATTCCCACATTGACCCACTGAGGATCCAGTCACCAGCCTGCCCTAGTGTTGCCAATAAAAACAGAGCAAAGAAAATGTATGCTTACTGAGCATCTATTTAGTCCTCACAACAACTTACTGATTCTTTATAATTTTCTCACTTTCGCATCGTAAGGGTGAGGAATGAAGACTACAGAGAAGTTAAGTATTTTCTCCAGGTCACACACATCGACTAAGTGGCAGATCCAAAATGTGAACTCAAGTGTAGCTGAGACCAGACTCTCCCTTACTGCCCCACACTGAGTTACTCTGGTCGATAAAGTTTAATGTTCCGTTCACAGGTCTGTAACAGCCCCTTTCCTCTGCCCCGCAGGTCAGCTGCTTGCTTTTCACTGTGTTGATCATGAACATATATGCACAGGACGTTTCCCAGCCAGCTTTTGTCCTGGCTGAATTTAAGATATTCTCTGGTTTTGGCTTTGTACCTGTGTTTGCTCCATCACGCTCAAGCATGATTAAGAATTCCTATGTCAGGCTGCCCTCAACCCAGCTGAGATTTCTTTCACGTGCTTTTCCTCTGCTGTTTAAATTGATAACGGGGGGATGGTTTCAAATGAAATTTTAGTTTAAGTCCAAATCACAGTTCAGTGAGGAAGAGACCAAACGTGTGGCTCCATCAAGGTCGTGCTGGATGGACCACCGTTCCAGGATGCTGTAGGGATGCTGGGCCCCAGATACCTGTTCTGGGTACCACCTCCCCACCTCGCACTCTTCACGTGGGTAAAATCAGATGAAGTTGACTGGACTTCTCCATTCTCTGGGCCCCTTCTCTACCCTGCGGTGACTTCTGTCACAGCATCCTAAGAGGCCTGCAGATCGAAAATAACTCGTGTTCTGTTTGTAAACTATGTCTCTCTTAATATTCTACCCCTCAAGGCCAACTCTGTGTACAGTAGACATTGACGGCAGCTAGCTGAATAGATGAACTTAGACCATCTTTGAGGAGGAGGGGTGATCTCCAAGCTTGAGAGAGGTGGGCAAGGTTAAAAGGTTGTGTTGCCGTGACAACATATTCAAAACCCTCTGCAACCAACAGCTTAGACTCACTCATTTTGTTTTGATTCTTCAATTTTTCTTCACTCCGCATGACATTAGACATTTATAGATGTATAGACTTCAATGGAAACATCTTCATTTCGTTGTGTTTAATCAGAGAGGTTGAAATGGGAGGTAACATACAAAGAGTGACTGAGGAGGGGGCGTGTTTCTCCTCAATACTTTCAACTCTCACTTGCTTTTGGGCTGAATTTTGGATCTTCGCTCACTCTTTCATTTCCTCAGGCAGAACGCTTTCCACACTGAACACTGTGCCTTCCCTTCCGAGGGAACAAAGGTCCAGGGCTGGGCTTAATTTACTGAACACTGAGGGGCAGTGCTGCGTAATGATGTCACATCACTTAGAAGTGGAAATAGACCAACTTCGTGTTGATGTGAGTCTGCACTTTCTTCTTCGGAACTTTCCACTGATCGTCTCTCCAACTCAGATTCCAGTCTTTCCCTCCTCAGACCTACTCACTCCCTCACTAACCTTTGAGCCCTTCATGTTGACTTGACACATCATCATCTCGGCTGGGCTCAGAGGAACTTTTCCTCAGCTCTGATGCCATCATGCCTTTGTCAACACCGGTTGTTGCATGTTGCATAATTTTTTCCATTTCCTTTAAAGCCAGAGGAGAAAAAATCCTCATCATGTTCCACACTCTGTGGCAAGCAACCTTGATCAGGACATCACCATTTAATTTTAGATTCAGGTTTTGTTCAACAACCATCCTACCGAGGATCAGGACAAATGGTTTGAACTCCCCTGAGTAAAAATGCCCATTTCACCCGTAGGTGTCCCGGAGTAACATGGTGAGCATCTCATATGTCTATCATACGAGATGTAGTATATGAAATACTGAGAGCATTTCAGTGTATAACAGGTAACCTCAAATGACAATGTTATCTAGGAGTTGGAATTATATTAAACTGCTGTCTACTAAATGCCATGCTGGCCCAGATCACTTTTCTGAGGGACTTTACCAATCCAGGTGAGATCAGCAAGTTCCTTCTGTCATTCTCAAGAGGGAGCAGGGGCTGAAATTCAGACTGAACTCCGCTAGGTGTCATTGTCTTAGGACAAGTCATAAACAATCTGAAAAATAATCCGTTATGAAGCAACTGTATGTACTGTTCTATCTGACATTTACTCGTATACCTCATGTCTGATGAGTGCCTGCTCTGGGCAGTCTCCTGTGCAGAGAAAGTCAAGGGCGTTACCATCCCTGCCTTCAAGGAACTCACAGAACAGTAGACAAGAAAAGGCTGGCTATTTAGCAGTAAGTGCATCATTGTGATGATTTTGGTTACAGATATCAGCACAAATGGGTCAGACCTGGGGTGCACATGGGCCAGGATAGATTTGAAGGAAAAGTGGAGTTAAGTTTTGAAAAACTAGAAGTTAACTAAAATTAGTGTAGCATAGGGAGGTGGAATCATTATATATGTTCACACGGGGAAATGTGAGAGAATATAAAAATCACGACTTCCCCAAAAGATGAGCATCTTGGTGTGGTTTTTACACAGTCTTCATGTGGGGTATTTATAGGAGATGGAGGCAGGGGAGAAGGTCAAATCCTATAACCATGAGATGGCTTGGTCTGTCACAGGGATTATGGATGTAGAATATACATTCAGAATGAAACCGGGCAGAGTCTTGTGGAAATGCATCCATTATTTATCTATTCAATTCTATTACCTTCTACAGAAGGGATAAGTGCAAAATCAGACACTGTTGTGAAGTAATCATGTTCTTTAAGATTCTTCCAGCCTGATGCTTAGATAATGTGGTCAGACTGGCTTTCCATACATTTCAAGTGTTCATTTCAGACAAGGATGCCCCTTTTAGTGCTATCAGTGTCTGGATGCTTCTAAGAGAGCTCTGACATCCTTACCTTAGAAACTTCCACAACTTTCTGCTCTTGGTAAACGTAACCAGAATACTGATCTGAGCTGGTATAGCATTTAGTTGACAGCAGTTTAATATATTATGACTCCTAGACAATATTAGCTCTTAGAAATGTTAAGTATCATATATTCAGGTGTTCCTAGTGTTTCACAGACGCTATCTCACATTATCCCAACAACCCTTGAGGTTGGTTTTATCCTCTCCTTTTGCTAGAGAGGAAAAGGGGGGTTCTGAGAAGATCAGTAGCTTGGATAAGGTCACATGACGAAGGGGGCAGAGTTGGAATCCCAGCTAGGTGCCAGGGTGGCCTCGCTGACCCCATGACAAGAGCTGCTAAGTTGGCATTGTGAGTTATGGTAGCCAGTGAGGACGCCAGAGAGACGGCTCTTGGGGCCTTTCAAATCACCTCACTTCACTGTTTGTTTCTTTCCAAAGTGGGGCTGCTCGGAGATCCTCAGCTATCTCCTGAGATTCTGGTAATTGTTGATATTTTATTCTGTTTTAATAAACCTCTGGAACTGAATAGCTTGCTGTCATATGTTGCAATGAGGCCCAAGTACACGGCAAAAATGAGTATGCTGTTGGTTGGGGAGAAAGGAAGGCAGCTCAGGAGAGGGAGGTGGGTGGCGGGAGGCAAAAGAAGGAACTCAATGACCACAGAGCGCGGGTCCTTCTCAGGGTGAAGGGAAGGCCCAGGGAGACGTCTGAATGGGGTACACCATGGAGTTGACTTCCCCATGGCTTTCCATCCCAGCCAGAGAACTAAACAGGAAGAAAAACAAAAAAAATGAGAAAACTTGTAATGAATAGCAATCTCATGGTTGATGATGGTTTACCAAGGCTCTTCCCTTCAATATAATGACTCAACCTCGAGAAACCCACCCAATCAGGTGCTTTCTGATCCACCTACTTCAGACCGATGGGCTGGTGGGACCGGGAGACAAAACCATCTACAACCTGGAGACAGCACAGGAGGGTGCTGGGCTGTGCAGGGTGGCTGGAAGAGGGGTGCACGTCAGGGCGCAGAGGATGGTGGTAGAATGATAGAAAGGCTGGCAGGGGGATAAGTTGGACGGGACAGGGACATCATCCAGAGTGTTCCCCTTCCCATGGCCCGTAGCCCAGATGAAGAGTTTTCTCCTCCAAACAACCAAGTAGAACTAAGATGAAGCTCTCTTTCTTCACGGCAGAACATTCTTTTATTTATTCATAAGTAGGTGCAGGCATTTTTATGTGATTTTTAACAACCCTGTTCTTTGCTTCTTGCCCCTGCTTCACCCTGGTATCAAGTGATATGGCATAACATAGAAAGAGAGAATGCTGTAAGGTTCACATTCTGGTCATCTGATCATTCAAAAATGGAAACCTATTGTTCATTTTTTTTTTAAAGCAGGATATTTAGGGAATGTTTTTTCTTAGTATGTGGAATCCTGGAGCTTCAGACCACTCTTTAACCCTTGATTTCCCTTCTCTGGCACAGAGAAATTATTTAATAAATGGTGCTGAAGCCATGAGTGAGTGGTGGGTGAATGACTTCTGTTGGAGACATTTTTACCTCTTTGTCTTTTGGTAGGTTTGTTACTGAGTCCAAATTCATTCTGCTCAATGCACAACAGGCCAGTTTTTCAAGGGATGAGTTGTGGGCCAAGGAATAGTGACTTTATTTGAAAAGTCAGCAGA